TTTCTGTGTACATATGTAAAGGAGGTAGGAGGTCCTAACCTCAGTCTCGAGCAGGATTGGTCAACTTAGCGATCCAGACAGAAGCAATCTATTGTTAGTGAATCTTCCCTGAGTGAACGTCTCCATTGATTAATAACTAAACACATGATTGTAAGTCTGTCACACACACACACACACACACACACACACACACACACACACACACACACTCTGCAGGTCTGTGAAACAACTGATGCCCTTCCTTTACACTCCAGTCCCAAGCACAGTAGAGCCCTGGGTGTTGAATGATTTAGACACAGATAACTGCCTTCGAGTGGCCTAGATGTCGGCTTCTATCTAGTGTGGTCATGTGACTATGTTGTATTCCAGCACAGAGCAGGCTGCTCCTGATAAGCTTGATTTAACCTCTGCTGGGGGTTCAAAGGCAGCCAGCCTGATGGGTTATATAACCAGGAGGGAACATGAGAAGTGCAGCTCTGCTCTGGGCCAGAGGACTTGACCTGCTTGTTTACCCATCATCCTCCACTATGCTATGACACATACAGAGGTCTGATAACTGCTGGTCAGGTACAAATTATCTGACTGACTGACCCACTAACGCATGCACACATGAAAAACAAAATCAATAAGAGCAGAAGAGAAATTTAACTATGAATATAAATATTTGATGAACCTGTGTGTAAACTGAATGATACCAGTCGTCATGTACCACTGTGTAAAGATATAATCATACATGGATGATTTACTATGTGTGACCCACATTCTGAACAGCTGCAATGCTCCATTTCACCTCTGTGTGTGTTAGTATGGAGGGATAGTCATTGACTGCAACAGGCATCATCAGCACGTTTACAAAGCATCTATCCTCCAATGTGGAGCAATGATAGTGCATTGTGGCATCTTCTCATTTCACGCTGTTGCCAAGGCAACCGGTACTCGGAGGCTGGTTCACTGTCCAGCTCCAGTGTTCAGGCTAAAACATCCTCCCCGACTACACACACTATAAAGATAATAGCAGCTCTCTGTGGACAAGATCCTGAGAATGTTTCTGATCGTTGCCTCTTTGAAACAGCTTTTCGTATGGTGTTCCTGCCCTAACAGAGAATGTGATGCTGCCCATCCCCCCCAGTCTGTTGCTGCCTGACTGGTGCTGGAATGGCCCAGCTGCACTCATGCTGTCCCAGCTCAGCTCAGCCTGGTTCCTGTCACTTCCCCTCCCTTCTCGCTGCAAAACCTCCACTGATGCCCCTGGCAGGGGCAATCATAACCTGACAGCCTAAGCGCATCTATACATGGCTGTTGCCAAGCAGGCCGCCACCAATGGGGGCGTCAGGATATGGCAACACTGTTGATGATTGGTCCAGAAACAGGAAGGACAAGGTGAGAGAACCTGATGAGGAGTAAGTGAGTGATGCATGAAAACCTCAAATGGTAGTTTGCAGAAAGAGTTTAAGTACAATTTGACGTCGGTAAGCTGTGTCATCGTCGATCTTAAAATCACAAAAGGCTACAAGGCTACTGGTGGCCACAATGACATTTGCAATCTGACATAAAATGGCTCCTGTCCATACTGTAATTAAGCTATTGGAATTAGAGTTCTTGGAAAATATTTCCCTTGGTTAAAATCTCATTTTGACTCATGACCTTGTTACCACAAATAAACCAGATAACAAAATAATCCTTTTGCCTTTTGGTGTTCGCTCAAGTAGCAACAATTGGTCAATTAATCAACTAGTCAATCATCGAACATTCAATTTAGAAACTATTTTGGATGATCTATTGTTTACTCATGTACATTTTCTCTTTACAGATTCTCAAAAGTCAGAGTATGATAAGCAGCTTTTCTCAGATTTATATCACTAAATTGTAAATCTATGCATTTTGGACACATTCATAAATCACTAGAGTTTCTCAAATCTCATATGCTGGAGTACAAAGGCAACACTCTGTGTGTGCAACAGGGAACTGTGACTTTGTTTTTCACATAGCAAAGTTCTGATAATGTATTATTGGGATGCATTAATTTATCACTGTGCTGGAGGCGGCTTCATCACTGATGTAATGTAACTGCAAATAAATTCCTTTCAACCTCTTAAATAATGAAAAAAGGAAATTAACAAAAGTAAAATGAATGATATTGAAAGAAATGTGTCTGTTGGTGATTCCTTGCCAGGGAAGCTTGTTTAATAATCAAATATTTTAACAGAATTTATAGAATACTTACCTTACTTAAAGGGATAGTTCACTGAAAAATGAAAATTCAGTCAATATCTACTCAGCACTATGCTGATGGAGGGGTGGGTGTAGTTTGAGTCCACAAAATACTTCTGGAGTCTCAGGGGTAAACAGTGTTTCAGCAGAATCCAATACAATTGAGGTCAATGGTGTCCTCTTCTTCAGACTTAATAAAACAACGGAAAAAACATAACATGCCTCCACACTGCTCGTATGGTGCCATGCTTAAACGTCTGCTGATATCTTCCTACAAGGTGCATTCACGGACCCTCGGACTCACTATCGTGTGGCCATGGATGCTAGCTTAGCATGTTATGTTTTTTCTGTTGTTTAATTACGTCTGAAGAATGTCTCACCATTAACTAATTCAATTGTATTGATAATGAGTGAATTTTCATTTTTCAGTGAACTATTCCTTTAACACAACACAACACTATAAGTCTCTCCAGGCAGAGAAACAAAAATGTGTAGATTTTAAGTGAGTCATGCAGTTATATTAGAATCACAGTAAACCAACTTCATAAACTTTCGCTAAAGACCAGCTTGGAGTGAAGAGGGTGTAAAAGGCTTTTTCTCACCAAGAGTGAAGGATTAGGTCCTAAATATGCTGCCTGCTCTGATTACTTCTGTTATGACATGCCAGTGGCAGGCAGTAACATGAATTCAACAATCTATCCTACTTATACAACACAGGATGGTGGCGCACTGACTCTGGAAATGTTTTCCTGACTCACAGTAAGCTCTTTCAGCAGTGTTGTTCATCAGGTGTAGCCCTCCATTCTGTGTTTAGCTGTTTTACACGGACAAATTCAGACAGAACTGAGGTAGTTTCGGAATACTACAGTGATTGTGGTTCAACCCAGATCTCAACCCCGCAGAGACCTTTGACTGTGCTGTGAAAATAGGGCAGCTGCAGCCTGGAGGTGAAAACAGTGGGGTCACCCAGGACGGGCTGTGTCAAATCTCAGTCTGTCTGTAAAAAGAGATCCAAAGCACTCTGCAATTTTACAGTTCTGGAAGTTTCTCATCAAAACCCAAATAGTATTGTGCGCATTACTGTGAACAGGCAGAGACATTTGAAGGGTAGGGGGAGCTGTAAGTGGCTGGAGAGACAAAGCCATGTTCATATTGCTGTTCATGAAGTGCGCTGTGAGTGCACAGAGAAGACTGGGAACGGACTGTCAGGTGTAATCAGTGAATAGCAGGGTGAATAACTCACCACTGAATCAGTGAGGCAGATATACAATCCACCTTCATCCACAACTCAGTGACTTCAAGGTTACATTGTTGCTGCATGTGATAAGAACTGATGGCTGGGGTGTGTTGAAAAGACAATGTCCGGCACTGAGGAATTAAGACTAAACTTTCTGTATCATCATTGACCATTTCCCTTGTACACAATGACATACCACACTGACACACTTGAAATGGACCAGTAGGATACCCTAGTGGTAGCTGAACCTGTGACAGGACAAATACACATTGTTGAGCAAAGACACTATGGCTGCATCAAAGGCTCTTACGGAGCAGAATTAAGAATGGCCTCTGATTCGGACCCCATCAACATTCAAATGTAGTAACACTCCATCCTGCATCTTTTTAATAACCTCGGAGAACAAGGCAACAGCAGGAGAAAATATGTCATGTTGAGATATCTGCAGCACAGTCTGACAGTTTTAAATATTATCTCAGACATCAATCCAACAAATGTCTTTCTTCAACAATCAAACAAACACACACTATTTAAACCACACTCTGACACTGACTTCATAGAGTGTATTAGGTCTGAGAGGCCAAACCTGCTGAATCACTCCAGCTAATCCAGGACAAGGAACAAAGCTCAGTGTGTGGCTGTGAGAAGTGACTGACCAGTGTGACATGTGCCAGTGGAGGTGGAGTTGGAGCAGGGACACGGTGCACAGGCTTCTGTCAGGGCGGCTCCAGGGCTGCGGTAGAAAGCAGGCTTACACTCCTCACAGTTGATTCCCTGGGTATTGGCCCCACAGTTCAAACACACTCCTGGAGGACAGAGCAAAGGTGACATGATTAGTTTACTTCCTTGATCCACTTCCTCCCTTCAACACAGTGGATCTGTCGGTCATATAACCCTCGCTGTTGTGTTTGTTAATGTCAGGTTGATCATTGAACAATCAATCATTCCAAACACTGACGTTTCTTTCAACTTACAATGAATCAATAAACAAGAGGAAAAAAGGGTTTTCCATTAAATTCATATCAACATGCCAATCAAGTAAATCAAAAAACTTGTTATGTTTTTCATCATGTTGTCCATTATAGTGGTTGATTAATGATGCAATGCTGATTTGACTTACATAGAATTATTTAATTGTTATGATTGTAAATAGTTGTGAAGGTACTGCCACTGTCATGCTGTTTGTAGTTGAGTCTCTCTATGTGGTGGAGTTGTTGTGCCTTCATGATCATAGATGGAGGTTACGTAGACATGACTAAACCTGTCTGAAGGCTGCCTCACGTGGAACAATGGTTTCAGTAATGAGGTAAGCGAGGTCAGGCTCCTCCTCCCACTATAACCTAAAAGTGTGTCAACTGAGGGGCTGCTAATGTACGTGGAATCAGCTGCTGAAAACAGAGGGTCCCTGCAGCAATACCCCCACATGACAGGTTCAATTGTTGGTTAAAGAGGAGGTTAACCTTGGAGAGGAGTGCTTCCCTGTACCACTTGTTGACAAATGAAGGGTTTCCTGAGTTAAATTAGACTTATTCAAAATTCAAGGTTGAAGCACTGTTGATACACGTCTCATAAAGCAGGGTTTAAACCTGTGCCCCTCCCAGTGTTCCTAGGTGAGTGTTACATCACAGCACTTGTGCTCTTGTGAAGAAAGTTCTTCATGAAGTCAGTGTGGAGACAATATGTCTCAGTCGTGCTGGAAATGGCGAGTCCCTGCCATGTTTGCCTGTGGTCCACAGTGTTTGGGTTACAGTATAATTTGAATTCGCACAATGCGTTGTGTAAGTAGCCCTGTGGAATGGCCAGGGTCAGTGTTTAAAGGGAACGGTCAAAACCTGAACTATGTTAATCCACAGAATGAGAACACTGGGCTCCATCTGCTCCTTATAATGGAAAGACATATGGCTTTAAAACAACCCCCCGCCACCACCACCACCACTCTGGCCTCCACCTTTCCTCTTTCTCATGCCTGTCACTAGCTGGGGGTTTTAAGTCTTTGAGCCTGGCTGCTAGGAGGTGAGCAGCAATCCTCCTTCATATGTGATCAAGGACACAGGGGAGGATAAATCCACCTTAAATCATACGCAAATGCTAACAGACACTGGATTTGTGGAATTTTACATTATGTAACGTTTGCTTCTGATTGAGCAGCCTTCTGAGTCCTTGCCAGCTGAATGTGTAAATATTTACTAAAGTGAAACTGAAGGGATTGTGTACTGCTATAGTCTCTACTTAAACACTGCAATCGTTAGGGCATAGTACCAAGGTGTTAACCCAGTGCTGGCTCTCTCTCTCTCACTCTTGCACACACGTATGCACAGTCAGGAAATCTCATTACACCATCAAAAAAAAAACCACTGCATGAGTTCGAGGATAAGGCTCACTGGCAAATCACAGTAATCCAGCATTGACAGCCTGACCCAAGCGGGTGTGGCTCAAGGACAAGCTTACAGGTGGACATGTGGAGATAGAGATCAAACCAGCATGTCTGACTCACCACCCAGATGACTACTCCTGCTCAAAAGCAACTTTGTCAGGCGACGGTTTACATACAACAGTCAAGGTAAGTTTTGTACAGTGGGAAGAAAGTACTTCAATAACAAGAGCACAGTGTTATTAACCCCCTTTTAAATTAAAACTAACATGGTATTAGTAGAAAAATCTATTTTAAGTATCAAAGTAAAACTACTCATTGTGCAGAAAGGCCCTTTGTAGTGTTATATTGATCTATGCTTCACATTATTGGACGTTATGAATGCAGTAACATGTCAGCAAATATATATAAGCTTGAAGAGGGTCATGATGGCAAAAGTAAAAAGTAAAAGTAAAATATTAGTACAATATTTCACTCTGTACATGAGTATAGGAGAATGAAGTAAGTACTCAAGTAACTTAACTACAAATACCCAAAACTGTGCAGTATTTGTTCAATCTCCATTTCTACAGCGTGTTCTCAATATTATTTAAATAAGAGCAGGCTGCTATTGTGCATCAGTGTGGATTGGACCTCAGCAGACTCACCGGACTGTGGGTGGCAAAGGGTGGTGTGGTTGTGACACTGGCAGGGTCGGCAGCCAGTGCTGCTGAAGTGGAAGAAACCCGGGTGACACTCATCACACTTGGGTCCGTACACTCCTGTCTTGCACACACATATTCCTGAGCTGTGAGGGGCAGAACAGAAGACAAAATCAGCACAACAGTTGAAAGTGTTTGATTTAACACAACAAAATATCAAGCCAAAGAAAGTGTTGGTTTTTTTGGACCTCATTTCAGACATTATTTCACTACTGACTGCAATCTTAATGGGTCCCTGTGTATCTACCTTTTAGGGATACATACATAAGCTCGACATATATTAAAACTTATATGGCAACTCCTGCAAATTTGCAATTGTAGTTTGCTTGTAGCCAATGCAAACTGAATATGTCTGGCATGCATTACCAGAAACTAGAAATAGTGCCACTTTACATAGTTGGTTCACCAGAGAGCAGATAGATTTCTTCACAGTAAAATGGCCTTCTAAGTATATATAATAAACACAATTCTTCAGAAAATACAACATTTTATGTTTTAGACTGATTCTTCATATTAAACTCCCAAATGCCAGCCACAGAAATCCAGCATCAGTCACACTTTAAACAGATCTTAATATAGAAAATCTGAGCACTGAGCATAAAGGCTGTTTATTTACTTCATGTGTTTAACGGTATGATTGCCCTCAGCTGACCAAATGTTAGTGGATAATGCCTCAAGGAATGTTCTGGCAAACATAAATCCAATTACATTTAAACTCCTCAGCAATAACACACACACACACACACACGCACACACTTATTTGTTTTTGTGTCTTATCAACGTTGGATCCACTCTCACCATTCTGTGGGGCTCGCTGTTAATTAAAGTCACTGCATGCTCATTTATGCATGATGGAAGCGGGAGTGACAGTGACAGGCTACATATATTCCCAAAGAAAAATGCGCACATGGCTCACTAATCCCACAAACATTCAAGGTAAAATCCTAGAACAATAGACTCACAAATATAATCTGGGGACAATGACTTCAAAACAATTGAAGCAAATCAAGAGTGACTGGGAGCACTTTTCCTGAGCATGTGCGTGGGTCTTCATACAAACAGAGCTTTGTTGAAACAAGTGCACTTAATGCAAATGAAGCAGCCCACAGCAGTGCTCAGTGGGGCGTGGGCTCTACTGAGGACAAGGCTGGAGATCAACAATCCACATCCCTCAAGACAAACACACATACGCGCAGACACACACACACACACACACACACACACACACACACAAAGACAGACAGACAGACAGACAGACAGAACAAAGAACAAAGAATAACCATATGCAGCATCATGACCCTAATGCAAAAATTAAGCAGAGGGTTTTGAGATCAGGATACACAACTCTTGAGTTTAGTAATATTTATCAACAGTTTTTTTCCCCATTTTATCCCCATTGTACCTCTCTAAATAATGTATAATGATTTACAGGCCCCTAGTTATTTAATAAAATAATTATTGCAATTTCTGAGGACATTATGTGGCAAATTAGTTTTCTTAAAGAAGGAACAGTAGTGACAAAAAGCCTCTGGAAGGGAGAGGTCTGTGTTGTGGGAATGACTGCATAGAGTGAGGGTTTGTTGACCTGTGGTTGCTGATTTAACATTCTACACAGCTGATCTGATATTGCAACTTTTATTAGGCTGCAAATATTCCACTGGTGCACCAGAGAAAGCGAGCACGGCTTTCAAAACAGATGGAATGTCTTTACGACGTAGAACATGGTAAATGGTTTGTATTTATATAGAGCTGTTCTACTCCTGATGACCACTTGAAGCGCTTTACAGTACAGTTTTTTTACATTCACCCATTCACACACAAATTCATACAGTGCATCTATTAGCGGCATCAATTTCTATGAGGGGCCATTTGGGGTTCAGTATCATACCCAAGGACAATTTGACATGCAGATGGGCAAGAGTGGGATCGGACCGCCAGCCTTCTGGTTCTGAACAATATTGGTGCAGAAAAATATCAATATCAATATTATCTATTTTTTGTTTTTCACATGTCATCTGATGCTTTGATATTTCTGTGTTGACTTGACATGCAAAGTGCTGTGCACACAATAAATGTGTGTAGCAATACACAGGCGCAAACGGTGCATCAATGAACAAGCTCCTCTTACCACATTCTCAACAGCTGAAACACCTCAGAAGACCAGGGCAACGTTGTTACTGGTTCCACTGGTTACCTCTGTGGGTGTGCACCAAGTTGTGTTTCTACACAACTTTTTTTTCAGCAGTCAAAAGCCAAATGCTGCTTGTACAGACCTGTATCTGTGGCTTGTGTAATGAAAAAACTTTTTACCATGTGCACTAGACAAGAGTCACCTCCAGTCACACTTCTACTAGGAGAAGCTAATACAATCTTATAAAAACAGAATACATGTTTTTATCCCATAATATGAATATGCAGTATGTACACTGTCCATTGTGATATAAATTAACTACAGAATCTTTGAAGAAACTGTTGACAGACACAAGTGCACTTGTTTTGGCTGATTTCTAGAAAATTTAAATTAAAAGGTATACTCCTTACATGTGTGAAAACAAAATCCAATATTAACATAAACAGTCCTGCTTAATGGCCTCATGCAAGCCTTATATTTAAGATATTAAAGGTTACATAACACAGCTTTAAACAACAACCTCTTATTGGTTACTTAATCAATTAATTGATCAGCGGAAGTTTTATTAGCAACAATCTTTATAAAAAATTAATTATTTAAGTCTCCAAGGGAAGAGGATAGCTGCCTTTCTTTAAACTCTCTTAAATGTCAAATGACAAACTACATTTAAATTCATTAGATTTCACACTGTCAGCACCATCAGTCCCATTTTTAGCCACCATAACAGAAGAACAAAATCAGGACAGACATTGAAATGGGTTTTGCTGCAAATAGACAAATATCTAATTCGATGATCAAGACAAAAAACCTTAGTGTGATGTCAAACTAAAGAGCAATGCAGGTAATAGGCAAGAGCCACAAAAAGAGTCCTTTACTGCATCATAATGGCCTGTTCTCTGCTCTGCAATCAGACACTAACCTGTGGCAATGCAGCACAATGTGTCATCTGTGAGCAGCTAAGATATAAGGCTGGTTCGCTGGTACTTATATCGAAATGTATCATCTCATATGCAGGTCCACAGTTGAAGCAGAGTGGGGGAAAACATTCTCCCTCAGTGATCTGTAATCTAGTTGTTCTTAGCCCGGAGGAGGAGTTTGTTATTGTTTTGGTGGGATTTCACTGCACTGGGCTGGCCCAGCCACTCTGCGTCAGATCTGTACGTCAAGTGGGTCAGTATTACACGGGTGACAAAGCTTAACCTCATTTTGTGGCTGCTGTGACAACGCTGGCCATCGTCTGTTACATGTGTCGGATTAGACCAAGGGTAAAAATCCTCTCTGCGACAGGGGGAGTAATTGCTCAATGTGAGTTTAATAACCAGGAGGTGAATGGTTGGGAAGCACATCACACAGGTTTAGTTGGATTGCTGGGTATGCAGACAAATCCTAAAATGTGTGTTATCCCAGCAAGCAGGAGGACTTCTGATCTCTTCTCCAATGGCCTGGTTCATGCCAGGCACTGCAGGCTTTCACACACGTGAAAGGCAGCTACATTCAAAGGGGAAACATCTGTTAGCTAGCTTGTTCACTATCATTAGATAATGAATGTGGATAGATAATCAAATATAGTGGATTTAATACAGTTACACCCATTTGTTGATGTTTGAAGGGTGCCAGTTCATGTGACACTCCCCATGAGTTGGGGAAATACCTTGTTTTGCATCTTAACCATAGTCAAAAGTTAAGTGTATTAGTTTTTACTATATTGTTGTCTTGTTAAAGGAATAAACTTAAATGTCTGAAAAAAATAATTAGAAATTCATAAGGAAGACCTATGTCAGTTCCATGTCTCCAGATTTGGTCAAAGATGCAACAACACAGCAGTCACATCTCAGTTGTTGGCCCCTATATACACAATGCTAAGTGGTCCACAAAAACACACATGTTCAGTGGTAGAAAAAGCCTCAGCCTACAGTGAATTCATTTAGAAAACCCTACAGAAACTAAACAACTACAAGATATGAATCAGACATGAAGCAGTCAGTGCAGGTCTGCTGAGTGTGGCCATCAGTCAGGACTCAGACATGCGGTTTCAACCCTGCAGTCTACTTCCGCTTTCTGATATCTACTCACCTCTACTTCCACTTGATCAAGGGCTTCAGTGGAAGTTGGTTATGTTGTTTTGCATTTAGTTTTCAAGCTGTAGACTTGATACAGCATGTAGATATCTTGATTTTAGCCAAAAACAACTGAAAAGTTCAAGCATTTAATCTGATTAAAAATGCCTTAAATGTAATGTCACAAACATTACTGTGAACTACAAGGAAGAATAGAAATACTTGTTGATGTATTTTGTAGGTTCTGCCCACATCATTGTTCAGAAAATAGGAAATCAAGTGAAAACTGGTGGCAGTGGTGCATCTACTGTAAAGTGACACATGATAAACAATCAGATACATCTGCATCCACTGTCAATATTTCATTCTAGACTGTGGCGCCTTCCATACAGTATTCTGAATGGAATTGTCTTACGAACGATGCCCTCGGGAGCTGACCCAAATTCAGTTTAACTGTTATAACACATACAAGAGACACGTGTTTTGTTACCCTGTTTTGTTGTGCTAACCCTTTTCATATGGTTTGCATGATATATATATGCATCATTGGGAAGAATGCCACATCATGAGTGAACAAGAGGAGGGGATCTCGTTAAGGCTGTTACGAGGAACATTGAATTGAATGAACATTTAAGGATGTAATTACCGACGTCATCTGGTTTATAGAGCTATTAACCCTGAAATTGCATTAGCTGGGTTTCAGTAAATGGTCAGTTCAAGTTAAGCAACATTTATCTGCCCATGTAACAGTCGCTGGTGAGTAATTCACCCAATACTAACACAATACTAGCGGTTGTTTCTTGTTTTTACTGCTGTGTTTTCGCTGGTGTTGTGGCTCTGCAGATGGCAGTGCAAATACCACTTTGATCCTGGCTGACACTTCTTATAAACTGCTAGAAACGATTTTGTACAGAAAACCACTGTCACAGAGGACGGACCCAGGGTTGGCTGAACTGCCATGAAATCTGGCATGAATATGTTCGCTTCTGAATCTATGAAAGGTAAGTAACACTGAAGCTTTTTTATCAAGGGCCATAAAATAAGGAAAAACGTCAGAATGTCCAACACTATGGATTATGAAAAAACACCCATAAAACATTCCCATCAGACTAAGCTGTACTTACTTCAAATTAGCAAATACTAGTACAGTGCCTGTTGTTAACATGCCTATTTGGAGTGGGCTGCTTGCTTGGCCTGTGGTAACATAGCAAACCTCCTTCAGAATGTTTCCTTATCATTAGTGAGTCCTCCTCAAATAGTTCAACAATTTGCTGTTTTTCATTGTCTGCATGCTGGACATCGTGCAAAGAGCATTTTATTTAACAGTCAAATGGTCCAGAGTGAAGTTAGAAGGCTTTGTATTCATCCTACCTACCTGGTTTATCTGCAAGGATTTTAAAGAAAGTGTTTTTCATATAATAAAACTGTATCAGTTTCATTACTGTTCAAGTGCTTCTCAGATGGTCGAACAGCTCTTGGTCTAAAGATTTGAGAGTTTATCATCCATTCATCATAATTTATTTTCCCAAATTTTGGCTTTACAGAATATCATGAGTGCTAGAAGAATTAAACTAAATTGTGTGAATACAGTGTCAAACAAAAATAAACTACATGTGAATTACCAAATTTTTATTCAAGCTGAAGCTCTTCATCAAAGTGCCTTTCTTTGCCAGATGCACAATTCCCATGTATGGCATAACGCTGCACTCATCCACACCACAGAGATTGAGCTCAATGAGGGAGTGAGCATAGGTCAAGTCATTATCAGCAACTCTTGAGAAATGTGGGTTAATCAACAACCTGAGTGCATGTTTGTACTGATGGATGGCTGTGTCCCAGTTGATGTACCAACTGTGACCCACGCACAACAGATGGTTTAGAGCCTCAAGTTACAATCCTTATACTAAGTGTAATGAGGGTCTAACTGCAGGGTACAGGAAGGAAAACTTTGTTCCTTGTAACCTCTTCAAATGACACTGCACAACATTTTGTTTAAACTAAACAAATTCATCTTGATATTAGATGCATATAATTTTGTATTTTTAGATTCTTAGTAAGTAATGCAGTGATGTTTAAGAAAGCTGAAAATAGGCCTTTTAAAACAGTCAGCCCTACTTGGCTGGAAATATCTTTTTGTGATGGCACTTCATCTATATTGGGATGATTTGGATTTAGCTATCCAGACAAATGCATCACCACACAGAAACGGTGACTTGGCAATGCAGCGGACATCAGGTCATAACCGAAGCCACGCACAAATGAATATCTTGGATTTCACACCAAAAGAGAAACTTTTAGAAAACAGCGCTGCCAGGCTTTGAGCTATATATTGTACTGCAGTTACATAATGCTGTTGCAGCAAACACAACATAATTAGAACAGAAGAGAAGTTTTTCTCTAATTTAATGTTGTCAATCAGATCTATGGATATCTGGAAGTAAACCTGCTTCTCCCTGTGCATGTCTATAAACGTCTAAATTTGCCAAAAATTCTTAATGGCTGTTAGATAATCTGGATCTAGATAATCTGTCATGCAGCCTATTACTTCAGTAAAACATACCTGAAGTACAACTGTGGATGGGAGGCTAATTCTGCTGCTGCTACTGAGCTTCCATGAACCTGCAAGTATCTAATGCAGGTTTTTCTTGTCCTCTATGCACAGAGCAAGGTTTAGAATAAAATAGTGTCTGACACTGTCCAAAATGTATTGCCTCTTTGCCTCTGTGTATTGCCTCTCTCTATGATGAAATGCTTTTTTGGCTGTCTGTGTTCGTGGGAATTTGAAATAGCAATAAAGGCTGGTACTTTCGGCTTTTAATTAACAGCAACTGTGGAATGGATTGAGGTGGAATTTCGAAAACAACCACACATCACTTCACCATTAAATCTCTGGTACTTTGGTTTATGAAGTAACAGATGAAAATCATCAGCCTCAGCTGTATTTCATGCTGTTAGCATGCTAGATTGAAAAAGTGGGAAGCAAATGCCAATCATTATACCATCTAAACACCAGCATGTTAGCATTGTCACTATGCCTGTGTTAGAATGCTGATGGAAACATTCAGCTCAAAGCAGAACTCAAATACAGCCTCGGAAAGCCAGCATCATGGCTGTAGACTTATATTCTTGTTTTGGGATATCTAGGTGTCTCTGCAGTCTGTATGTGCAATTTCTAAACATATTGCATGCAAACATACAAAGTAATGCATACAGTTCCTGTAACAGCAGAAACTACTAAAGCACCAGAAGGCTCTATCTCGGCTCATTACTTAATTGGAAAGATACCTAAAGCAGCAGACTGGGGGGCAGCTAATCTGTGCAACTCACAGTGATAAGCTCCTGAAGGGGGCTAGGCTAGGCTAACAGGGTTAGCAGTATTCAGGCTTAGACTGTCTGAGACTGTGTCAGGTATGTGAACATGGGGAATCCTGAACAAACCCTCCTGCCTGCACCTACAACCCACTGAGCCCTAGACGTAGCATTTCAGGCTTCAATAACATAAAAGACACATCCTGTTTCCATTGGAGTGCACCCATTAAGATTTTGTTTGTGTAAGCCTACTGTGACATATTTTTCAGAGCATGACAACATCCTTCACACAGTGACTCAAGCTTTAAAAAAGCAGCAGCCTTCCTATTCATGGTGAGAGGCAGAAAGTACAGCCGCTATTTTTACCGGATTCCTAACCCACACACAGGTTTTTTTCATCCAAGTCAGAGTTCTTGTGACTTGTGGACAAACTGCATGTAAGGTCTGCTGTGTGTTGTTTGGCTTTGAATTTGAGAAGTAAGCACAGTCTGAACATTTCCCTGCCTTCAGGGAGGCCTGTGGGGTGATGGTTTGGTTAACTAGGTGGAATAATGATTCTGCAGGGCTATGGCATTTCGATGAACATAATGAGCTGAGGCCCAGACCATCTCGTGCCAGTCTTTCGGAGATAACAAACACTAATTCACAGCAGACATTGTGTTTGGGCTTGGCAGGCCACATTATTTGCATTGCTAAAGATAGTACCTCTTTAGAAAACTAGTTTGATATATCGCACATCTTCCAAAGGCCATATCTGGATATCTGCATATCTTTGTCATAAAAACACAACACATAAAACAAGGCTATAAATTAGAGGTTTCCTTCCATTATTCAACATTAGGACAGTATTTCTGTGATGTCCGAAGCCAAGGAAATTGAAAAAAGAGAGCACAGTATCCTTTATCTGCACTTTGCAGATACAATTTACTACTATATCAACGTGAATATAAGATATTTTCATTTTCTGTAAATTTGGTTTGAAAGTGGAGGTCATTTTATATTAAAGGATATTATCAGATATTAATTTTGAATGAAGAAAGGATCATTGTAACAATATCTTCAACAGTGTCAAACATTATGGGTTTTTTTCATCGCGCTAATGTTGTTAGGCTAGTGAGAGTGTATGCTCGACTCCATCTTATGTTGAGTGTTTAAGGGTGAGTCAGTTCTTTAAAGGTTTGTTTAGTTAAATTTAATTTAACCGGCACAAGCTTCTAAAGGCTGCTGTAACATGTTCTGTTACCACAGGGGAAATAAATTCATGAGGGAAAACAACTTCTTTAATGCAGAAATGAACAGGCTTTACCAGGTTTGGCTGCTTATCCAGGAAAAAAAATAATTCTTGATTGTTTGAAGGGATAGTTCACCCAGAAATGAAAATGCACCCGTTGCAGCCAAATTCAATACAAAAGTAACTGGTGACCACCTCTTTAAGAGTACAATAAAAAATGTAATCAAATAAATAAAAAACATAAAATGCCTCCATACTGCCCCTGTGGTGTCATCCAAGTGTACGTAAGCCTGACAATCAAATTTAGACTCAAAATGGCGTCATTTACACAATACACCTAAATGTCCGCTGTTATCCTCAGCCTGGAGCCATGTTTACGTTCACATGCACACAAAGCAAAAGCTCTTGCCTCTATGCTCTCGCCCAAGGGGCACGTGAGTATTGCGAGACGAGATCAGCAGGACTACTCAAACACTTCACCCACCCCTCCATTGGCATAGTGGTGAGTAGATATTTGAGTGCATTTTCATTTCTGGGTGAACTATCCCTTTAAGGACAACTAGGATGTTTCGACAGTAGCCAAGAGCAGACAAGCTGAAGTCTGGCTCTAGAGAAGGCCTTTTTCGATTTATGTTACCTAAAGGCCACTGTAGGACAGGGAGGGGTGATGGGAGGGGTATTCAGTTAGTGGCAAACTGCAACCTCAACACTAGATGCCACTAAATCCTACAAAGCCTTTAACCTACAGTATATTAATAGATCTTTTGGCTACTGGGGACAGCAGAACAAGATGTTGAAACAATACCTGAAATTGAATCACCTTATAGAGGTGCTGTAACTCATGAACTCTCTTCAGTTGCTAAATGCTCACTGGTGGTGGTCAGTTAGTTGCTGATGTTTTGTGCTAACAACTAAACCATTGAGCTAAAAGCAGCTGAAAAGCATCTTTAACCTTTGGATATACTATGGTAGTAAACTAGTAAACAAGTTGACATTATCCAAATACAAATTTAATACAGTAAAGACATTGAGTAATGTCTCTCGTCAATTATGTTGATAAAACAAACATACACCTCCAACATGGCTACCACAGCATATGTTACTTCAATCTAAAGTTCTTCAAGGGGAAGTAGGGGAAGCAGCCTGACCTGTCACAGAGGTGGTTGATTGCACCAAAGGAGTCGCAGGTGCAGGACAGGCAGCCGCTGGTGCCATTGGTGAAGTAGCCCTCCTTGCAGTCCTCACACTGTAGTCCAGTGTATCCCGACAGACACAAACACTGACCGGTGTCCGGGTCACACTCGTACGCATCCAAAATCCCCTCCGCACCACTGCTGCAGTTACAATGGCCCTCTGAGGGGATGGATGGAGGTGTCCCCATGAAAAGGAAAGGAGAGAGAGACAGTAAATACTTTGTGAGATGTGCTGGCAGTGATATAATTTAAGGATTAAGGGTTTGTGGTGTTTACTTTTATTGTCACCTCCACCATTTGTCTTATTTGTCTAAGTGTGTGTGTGTGTGTGTGTGTATATTAGTTTGTCACTAGGATTGCTCAAAAATTACTGGATGGATTTCCACAAAACTTGGTGGAAACCATTAAACTTTGATAATTGATTATTTAATTGTGGATAATCACATTCTATGGTTTCAGCTTTTCTAGTGCGGATGCTGCTGGTATCTCAATTGAATATCATTGTTAATTGAATAGATATGGGTTTTGACTTTTGGTCAGATAAAATGAAAATACATCACCAAGGACTGGACATTTTGTATAACAGAGTAAACTAAATATTGATCAAAATGTTTAAGAGATTGATAATGAAAATAATTGCTAAATATCAAGCTTCTACAAAGAAACTAAAACATGACATAAAGCAAAGCTTGTTATTTAATTCACTGACATTTACTTCAATTTATAAAATGTTTATTGTATCAAGTCCAAGAGACTTGTTTCACGTGATCTGTTTTGATACCATGGCTTCAAAATTGACATTAATAATTTATGGCTGGTCCTTTTTATGTCCACCAAAAGACCTTTCCCTCATATAATAGACTGCACCTGAACATGCAACTGAACAATATAGTGTTGAGCCTGAGTATCATAGTTATGTAGTGGCATACTTACCTACCTCATATAACAAATTGCCCTGAGGTCATGTAGGTGTCATTAGCAGCTATGTCCGAACCTATGCATGTCAAATTCAGAGCCTTTCCTGTTTTGTTGCACTCTGCTGGCAGGTGAGTTTATCTTTACTTTTGCACTGTAGAAACAGTGAAATCATCTTTCAGGTGCTATGCCATTAGTAAAAGATTATGCAATCAAACTACAAGCTGCAGCACTGGTGCCAAAGACTGTAGATTTTGTAATCATCACTGTGCTTAATATGAATTTAGTCATTATTCGCACTGGAATTGTGACATCAGATACTTTTAAGGATTGAGTTCAGAGAATTTTCATTGGATAGTTTGTTGGTGTGACCATACCAAGATACAGTAACACTGGGAGCTTACATGTACAACCATCAATCACTTCAAGCTCCCTCGTCTATTCACAGTATTCTTGCATGCCGCCTGGAGCTGCCCAGGGCAAATTACAAAGCAGAGGGATAAGACAAACTAAAAACACTTTCCATGTTCAGTCGTCTTTTACCAATCCAGGGTTTCACAAATACATCCGTTTAGTACTCCTAAACTCCTGCTTTCTCTACTCTATAGAAAAATAATATTGCTCATTTTGAGAACACATGTTTGCTTTCAAAAAGATGGTTGTGCGTGCTTCGGATGAGCAACATTTTGAAAGATACTTGAGGATGACCCTGTTGAGTAGAGAGTAGCAATCTATTATTCATCTGATCGCAGGTTAGGTGTGGCGAGTGTTGACTGCAGGCCTGACATGTCTCCACTCGGTGCTTAGCAGTCAGACAAAGAAAAACAGGCAGATAAGAGCTCTAACCAAAATGTTTTTTTCACATGTGGTATGCACACACACTGAACATGGCACCTCAGCTAGCAGTTAGATAAAGAGGACCGGACAAGTGAAGGTATTTAATGTATTCCTGCCTTGGCGTCCCACTGATTATGCTGCTCATCCACCGTTGCTTGGACTTTTATGTAACTAAGAAAGGCCTGTAGTTATGCAAGTCTGTGGAGTATATTGAGACCCTTTGCCACAGTGACATCCACTGAAGAACTGTCGGTCCACATCAGGCAAAAGAATGTCTGAGATCGAGCTAATCACACACACACACTCACACTCTCTCTCTCTCACACACACACATTCTAAAAGCAGACTCTCTAGGTGTGGGCTAAGGGCTCTGTGGCGTGATGTATAAAACTTCACAACAGGTTTGATGTAGATTGGACTGGACTACTGTGTTTAGCAGAGAGAGAATGGGTGACCCTGTAGCAGAGTTCAACCCACCTCCTATCTTTGTGACTGTCGTAAAGTGGTGTGACAGCATGGCTGGTATCCAGACACTGACGTTGGCAGGTTGTTTCAGAACAAGTCATGTCACAGAACTCCACTCTTGCTCAATTCACCACTCGCCTGTCTGTGGAACTACAGTAGAAACAAGTGCAGCAGGAGCTGTGGCTGCAGAGAAACCATTACCCTTCAACTGTGGGTCAAGTGTCCAACCATTTTATTTGCTTTCAGTATGAGGAATTATATTAGAGATGGTTCAAAGACAGGATAACCCTGTGAAAGTACACCTTGTGCTGTATCCGTCTGCAGGCCCTCGCTCTGTCAGACAATGTATATGGATGGCGGGGCGAGGGGGTTAGCCCTGGTGACGCCTATGTTGATGTGATATTATCATGTGATTGGTCTTTACACAAGAACAATGAGGAGTGCTGGGGAAGCTTCCAATACAGCTTTCATGTGTGATCTCGCATCAGGGAACGGATTCCATTTAGTCTTTGTGATTCAAATAAACAGCAATAAATAACATTGAACAGCCGAACGCGACGCCATTTTAGTTCATCTACGATACTGACACATAACACATGAACAAACAGACTGACAGCAGGGCAGCAATTGACTTATTTTCACCATCGATGAATCCGTCTGAGATTTTGTCCATAAATCATTTAGGCTAATGTGAGAAAACATTAAGAAATGTCCATCTAAAGGTGGTGTCTTCAAATCGCTTTTTTTCTATCTGTGTTCACTGTCACATGGGACAAAGGAAAGCAGCAAATCTTCAGAATGGAGAGACTGAAAACGATGAACGGTTGGTATTCTAGAAACAAACTGACTTCAGTGTTAATCAACTTTCTAAATAGCTGCATATGATTAAAATACATCATTAAAATGAATTCACAAGCGCCAGACCGGCTTTAAAATATTATCCGAACCCACTGAACATGTGGGTTTGGATCTTTAATGGACAACGATGCACGTTTTAGGTTACACGGTCAACAGACCAGTCACAGTGCTGGAGCGCTTTCTTCTTTCCAAAGCCACTCTTTATTAAATCACAAGAAATACCAATATTATTTATGACATAGTACTAAACACTAAACTAACTAAAAACATTTTGATCAGTTTTCCTAATCCTCCACTGAGATTAATATTGACAGGAGGGTAGAACAGTGAGGAGAACAAAGGGTCAATGCAAAAATCATGACTGGACTGGACCCTTATGTGAGGGGCCAGTATCTGCTGGAAAATTACAATTAAAGACTATTTTAGGATCTGGCCTGGGGACATCTTGAGGCAACAAACTACAAGACAATGTGGTTTAGTAAGAAAAACAGAGGTCAGGATTTTGTGAACCACACATGGAGCCATTTGTACCTTTTATCCTTCATATTCTTAGACAGGATGTGAACTCATCATGGGGTGCTGGAGAATTAATAAGGATAAACATCCTCTCATCTGCTCTGCTAACACACACACACACACATTTGACTAAAGCACAATTTTGGATGGGACATCTCAGCCTGTGCTGCTGTGCAGGCTGGAGAACAACACCTCCACATGGATACTGGGATGTGTGTGTGTGTGTGTGAGAGAGAGAGAGAGAGAGAGAGAGAGAGAGAGAGGAGGGGCTCCGTTGTCATTGCTCATTCATGGCTTACCCTGCCTGCCTGGCCATTTTGGTTGGATGGCCTTGTTCTGTTAATGCCATGCAAACAACAATAGGAAGGATGAAGCAGCTATTTGAGAAGCTCCTTGTGATTTCTTGTTAATATCAAACATGTCTGGTCAACCTCAAGAGCATCATGGTCTGTGTGGATGCTATGGCAACTGACAGATAAATTGAACAACAGGATCAACATTGCACCCCCCCCCCCCCCCCTTTGAAGCCCTCTGTAATATGTGGCACACATCCTTCTATAATCGAAGGCCTGTGGAATACAATGTAGGACACATTCCAACATCCACTCTGGACGACGTGTTCGTGGATAGCAGTTTTATTGTTTTAAGAGATGGGGATGTGGTGATCATCTGAAGGGGTGCACCATGTCATCTGAGGATCTGTCTATTGTTGCAATGTGGTTTATTCGGTCGCTCTCTGCGTCAAAAGCCCAGAGCGACCATCCAGCAGCCTCTATCACACATGCATGTCCTCTTTTCACTCTCACACAATCTCTCCCAGAAAATAAAAGCATGCACTCGTTGACTGTCTTCACTCGTTATGTTTATGATTGCAGGGATGAAAGTGAAAATGGATATGACTGGTAGCGGTTTCATGGAGCTATACTCACCTTGACTATTCTCTATTGAAGTAACGGAGGAGCCAGTATTATCTGCAGCCCAGGCATCGTTTGCAGTGCGCTGGGAAACCATGGACACCATGGTCTGCAGCATTTTCTCTGGAGCGAAAAGTGATGTTTGTACATCGGTGGATCTTTTGCGTGCACCGCTCAATCTAAAGATCGGCGCTGTTATTTGCTCTTTATTGGCTGAAGTTATTCCAGTATCGGTGGCGGTAGCTGTGGTGGTGGTGGTGGTGGCCGGGTCCGTTGTAGGAGGCTGGAAGGTGGTCGCAATTTTAGAGACGGGGCTGATCGTGGCGGCCGGGCCGGCAGAAACAATGGCAGGCACCGGCGTGGGTCCGTTCCGAGAGCCGGGAGCGAACCTGCTCTCGGCTAAAGAAGGAGGCATGTCGGTGTGGAAGGTCTCCCAGGTGTCGGAGGCTGATCCGGGCTTCCTGGAGATTGACGCATCGTAAGGGCTGATGCTAGGTGCAGCTTCAGAAAATCCAATATATACATAGAAAATAACTATGAGAGCCGGAGATATGTACATCATTAAGGACGTTAACCTCATATTCACTTTCAGCTCTCCATGTAAGCCCCAGTAATGGTCTCTCTCAGACCGTTCCCTGAATGGATGCGTACTCCACCATTGATGTCCCCGGCGGGTCCGCTTGCTGTTTGCTGCCCGGTGAACCACAGTCAACACTTCAGCTGCTCTGCAACCTACCATCGGCCGCACGGGACTGACGTGCTCCGGGGCCAATGGGAGTCCGACCTGAACGCCCGTGTGCGCTCGTTCATTCGCTGCACGGGAGTCGGGGTAACGCCCCACGGAGACAATATACTGTAAATCATCAGACGCTGTCACTCCCCTGCAAATGATCAAAACACGACTGTCTCCATTCACAAACACAATAACCACACGAGTTGTAAAGATGGTGCACATGCATGAATTAGACAGAGGTACTGACAGCACAGGTATTCTCCTACGTGCTAATGCTGATGGTTGTTTTATACCTGGTTTTATGTTTATTCCACAGCCTCACAGATGTTGAGTTTCTGATCGGCATCAAACTATCACTTATACATTATATTTTGGAACCTGGAATTATATTTTGGTACCTGGAAGTCTGAAGTATTGTAACATCTGATCTCGACCCAACAGAGCTTACTGTACCTGACCCTGTTATGATTACTGTTATTTTTTTCAGATAACCATAAACAAAATGAGTTTGTTAAGGCTTTCACCTCAGCTTTATGGACTCAACGGGGCCATGATGTTTCCATGCCTCTACATCAGAACGCTAAACGTGCGTATCGCGGCTTTCTACGCACGTCACATTGCGTATCCATCAGCGATGGTAACGCTGATATTTTCAAACTTTTATTTTATCATAACCGGAAGTGTCTCTACGATTTTATTTCTGACTTGACACCACTTCTGGAATCTGGTGTGGTCTGTCGTGAGTACTTGTTGCCCTCTAGTGGTTACATCGTGTTGCAACATGTGTCTGCTTTTTTTTCTGAACGATTTTCATCCGTTTCCCCATCATCCAGTTTGATTTACACGGCATTGAAAGGTGAATTTACTCAAGATGCAGATGTGTTTTCAGTTTGCCACATAAGTGACAGAATTTTAAATTTGGTGATTGGCTAGTTTTTTATTCGGTTCTGATAATTTTACATTCGTCCAACCAAATGTTTGTTCAATTTGTTCATGTTTTATCCACTGTTAATTATATTGATCTTTTTGATACATTGCCACTTTGTTGTTGTGTTGTTCTTATATCTGCCTGAGTGCGGTGCCTTTATATACTATTAGTTTTGCCAAAATGCAGATTGGGAGCTGTAGTTACACTAAATGTGTGTCTTAGATCCAGATTAAGAACCAGATTGTTTAGAAGGTTGTAGCAAACCGTTTAGAAGTGATCAGAAGAGTGAGATGTTGTAGCAGTCTGTTAAGAAGTGATCAGGAGGTTGTAGCAGACTGTTTAGAAGTGATCAGGAGGTTGTAGCAGATTGTTTAGAAGTGATCAGAAGAGTGAGAGGTTGTAGCAGACTTTTAAGAAGTGATCAGGAGGTTGTAGCAGATTGTTTAGGAGTGATCAGAAGAGTGAGAGGTTGTAGCAGATTGTTTAGGAGTGATCAGAAGAGTGAGAGGTTGTAGCAGATTGTTTAGGAGTGATCAGAAGAGTGGGATGTTGTAGCAGAGGACTGGAGCAGAAATAAACAACTGCTCCAACACAGTTTTCTAGGATATGAGCGGAACACTGTGTTCATTGGCCGATAGGTGGCAGTGTGAGAGTACGACGCGTCCATGATCGCTCTCCTCTTGAGTGTTTCAGGAAGTTGCGCACGACAACCAGCGAGTTACAATGGCGCCTCTAGATTTGGATAAATATGCCGAGATCGCAAAACAGTGTAAATACCTCCCAGAAAATGACCTCAAGGTAAATGTGACTTTATTGAACCTTTTTTGACGGCCACGTGTGATGACGTTGTGACCGTGGCGTTAGCTCGCGGCTGTGTCACGTTACAGCAGCGGAATTAGCGTTAGCTTCTGGTAACAGTCGCTCCTGCTAGCTAGCCCGATGCTCTGATCTGTGGGTAAGGAAGTGCAAACCGTTAGTGAAACAGTTGAGTTACCTCAGTCCAAGACCAGTCCAGTCACACATCGATCGCTACAGAGGCAGGGACTCAGGACGGTTCGCGTTCAGTCGACCATATTCCTGCTGGTGACCTGGTGACGCGGACTGTCCTGATGTTCGGCTGACAGCGGATTGTTTTTAGCAGCGCTCCAGAGGAGGGACAAACCCGAGGGACCCCAACCCATACAACTTTACCTCTGTCCCTGTCGTCCATTAACAAAGTCCTACTCCCTCCCTGCAGGAGCAGCCCCGGGGGTTCAGGGAATAACGTTCAACCCATACACGCCGTTAAAATGCGATTCCTCTTGTTAGTAGATACCAAATATCTCATTCTCAGTATATCTCCATATGATTTTCTGCTCGTAAGAGACATCATTACATATTTGACAGTATTATCAGAATAAATGTAGTATAATATGTATTTGAGACCTTGAAATGTACAAGAGGTATTCACCATCTTGTCCCTTGTTCTAAAATGAAACAGATACAAGTGTACTCTAGTAGAGTCAGCTCGAAGGTTTCAGGCAAGCAGCCAGGATGAACCACCAGCCAGATATTAAACCACACGATCTTACTTAAAGGTCCAGTATGTAAGATTTAGGTGGAAGGGATCTATTGGCAGATATTTAATGTAGAATAATCCTCATGATGTTTTCACTAGTTCATTTCATCTAAATTGTATGAGTTGTAGTTTTCTTTAGTCCAGAAAAGAACCTTTATATTTAAATACTTTATATTTACTTGGAGGGGACCCTCTCTACAGAGGCCACCATGTTTTTGACATTAGTCCAGACTGGACAAACTAAACACCTTTTGAGTTTTTATGACAACTGAAGCTACCACAGGTTCTTTATCATGTTTGGAAGGAGAGGGTGAGGTGAGGGGTGTTCAGCTGCAACATGCAACTTCAACACTAGATATCACAAAATTCTACACACTGTACTGGATAGATAGATAGATAGATAGATAGATAGATAGATAGATAGATAGATAGATAGACAGACATACTTTATTCATCCCCGAAGGGAAATTCTTTTGTTCCAGCAGTACAGACATGTGCAATAAGTACAGGTGTGTAATAAGTACAAACAGTATTATTTATTTATTTTTACATAAAAGAGCATACAAGTAGGATATGGTGACTGAGTTGTTCAGACAGAGCTAAATTGAGGCAAAGTTAAAAGTTTAAGTTAAAAACAGAGGAGACTAGTTGAATGTTCCAATAATCAAGAAGCATAAGAACATAAAACCATAAAACCATAAAACGGCGCAAGAGTAGATGTGGTACAGCGATAAAGTGATAAAAACAGTGCAGGTGGTAAGTGATACAGTGATGTGCAAAAGAGACTAGCTACTATATACAATCTACGAGAATAACATCTACTGATATTGAATACCAGTCATTATAAATAGCAGCGAATATTTAAATTTGCAATGCAGATGGGATCACAATTTGCTCTTTGTCACCTAACATTGCACAGTGATTCATGAAACACACTCTTACACTGTCAATGTGTAGCATCATTACACTCAATCTCTCAGTCCATATGTATGACCAGTGGCCCAGTTACTGTCACTCAGCAACTGGCTATTAGTCAGGATTAGTCCATTAGTTTTTAAGCTGCCCATCATTTCCCAACCTATTCCTCATACTAGTTACTGTGTGCATTTATGCTTCAGACACGTAGAACCTCTTTTGTTCTGATGAAAGTCCTTTCCCCCCGACGCTGTGTAAGAGGCATAGTGATTTCCTCGGCCTTTGTCTCATCTACCCAGAATGTGTGCAGCTGCGACCGGTTTACATTTTATGACTTGATACAGGTCCTCACTCTGGAGTGAGTGGGATGTTGGTCAGTGCATTTACATCACAGACTTTGACCGAAACTGCAGCTGTATTAACTCATTGTGGAAACCCAGAAAAGATCACTATTCTGTCTTACATATAGTGTCTTGTCACCATGTGCTGTTTTAGTGTCTTCTCCCTGATCAGAAGAACATTTTGGGGGAAAACACTGAATACGTCTATATATCACATTTAAAAGCATTGAATTACTTTACTTAATGATCTGAACCCTCATCTCTTATGTCTCTATGTGTATTTCTTTTCTCTCTGTACAGCGGTTATGTGACTATGTGTGTGATCTCCTGCTGGAGGAGTCCAACGTTCAGCCTGTCTCTACTCCTGTAACAGTATGTGGGGACATACATGGACAGGTAAAAACCATGTCACAGAGCAGGAAGCCCAAGGGCACTACAAGAAACATCCTCTTTTCCTTTGCGAAGCAACATGTATTAATCTGACACAACATGTAAAATCTAAATCTAATCTCTTTGCCTCTTAGTTTTATGACCTCTGTGAACTCTTCCGAACTGGCGGCCAAGTTCCAGACACAAATTACATATTCATGGTTGGTATATTTAAATATTATTGACTTTGAGAAACATTTGACTCTATTAACTGCTATTTGGTACAGAATTGGTAACACATGTCTATTATTGGTAGGGAGACTTTGTTGACCGAGGATACTACAGTCTGGAGACATTCACCTACCTGCTGGTGCTGAAAGCCAAATGGCCCGACCGCATCACTCTTCTACGTGGAAACCACGAGAGCAGACAGATCACCCAAGTTTATGGATTTTATGGTGACGTGATTTACGCATGATTATATTCAGTGTTTAGCCAGCTGCAGTTTTCATTGTCACTAATGCACACTTTTACTCGAAATTATAAACCAGGGATATTTTTGTCTTACAGATGAGTGCCAGACCAAGTATGGGAATGCAAATGCGTGGCGTTACTGCACCAAAGTGTTCGATATGTTAACAGTTGCAGCTGTAAGTATTGAAGTGTTCCTTGTATTGACCTAATAAGATTAATGATCTGACCTGATAAATGACTATAGCTTGTAAAACCTGGAATTAAGTTGGTCTTTGGGTTTCTGTGGTTTGTGGTTAGGTTCCTGCTCCTTTTTGCATATTTGTATATTTGTATATTCACATTCTCTCTTCAGTCATCCCATCTGCACCACCAGAATCCTTCCAGCACAATATCACCATACTGTGTCAATCTTAAAA